CGGAATAAAGGGATACGAATAAACAAAGTTCAGTAGTAACGTGTACATGAGTAAAGGATATGCAGCAAATAATGTTCGACTATAAGAAATTAATTGTTATACATTAATTAGAGCATGAATACATTACGTGAGTTAAACTTCGAACAAGGTCCTATTTAACATATGAAAAGTATACACATACTACTTACTACTGGTAAGTAGTATAAATTTTAACACAAAAGAAAGGATGACAAAGGATAGATGAGAAAAGAATTAATGGTATTATTTATTTACTGATCCAGACTTTCCAAGCAAAATTTATTCTTCGTAATCATGTTTTATTATAGTTTTAATATTTCTTACTCTAGGATTTGATTAGTAGTAATATTTGCATATATATGTGGAATGGACATTGTAACATTCCTACTGCAGGTGTCGGATAAACAAGGATTCAGTGGTCAACCTCTCTCTCTCCACCTAACTATATTATTTTTTATAATTGTGGGTCTGTCATCTACTTATTGCTTGCTGACTTTTCCTCTAACCTATTCATCTTCATGGGGTCAATCGTTGTACACCTAACTCAATTCATATGCTCCGATGATCAGACTATCCATGATCTAGTGGTTTGACCCGTATAATTGGGCTCATAGCCATTGGAAAGTACTTTGCAAATTAAGTTATTTTGTCTAAATAGGTTATAAAGGTCCTTGAGATTAACGAGGTTGTCCCTAAGTGAGTTTTTAGGTTTAAATGAAACCCTATTTCGTGTTTTACTAAGAATCTTCTATGTAGGGTTTCAGTTATCTCTTCCCTATATGGTTTAACAATAGATGTCTTAAATACTCTCGTGTTTCGGTTATGGTCACTGAACTCAATAATAGGACAAAGCTGCCCATTGAAGAAGTTATTTTAGGGATTCAGTTATGCCTTACATCTACTTTCTTTAAATTCCAAGGCAAAATCTACAGACAAACAGAAGGCGTAGCAATGGAATGGATCACCAATATCCCCTATAGTAGCAGACATATTTATGGACAGCTGGGAAAATATTGCTCTATATACATTTAGTCCTACTCCAAAAATATGGTAGAGATATGTGGATGACACTTTCACAGTGCTAAAAACAGAACATATCTCTCTCTAGTTTCTTGACATATAAACTCACTAGTGGAGGGAATAAAATTCACATTTGAAGCCGAAAATGGACAAGAAGAATTAGTCATGATGTAAGATTGTAAAATAAAACGAAGAAGGCAAACTACACACTAAAGTTTATAAAAAGCCAACGCATTCTATTCAGACTTTAATTCATCTCATCCGTCAGCTGTTAAGACTGGCTTAGTTAAGGGTCTAACAAACCGAGCAATGCCACTAAGTAGCACAAAAAAAGACCTAAACGACGAAATAAAACAGATAGAAGAAGCGTTGGTGTTGAATAACTATCTTATAAAATTCATTAGGAAGATTGAAAAAGGCCAGAAGAAAAAGAAAAATAGTTGTGAAACTAGTAATGATAACATAAATAAGAGAGAATATAAGTCATCCACTGTAATACCATGTAAAGAGGGGACATCTGAGACCCTACGTAGGATTCTTAATAAAGCAGGAATTAGGTTGGCATTCAAACCTACAAACTCACTCAGAGACATGTTCTGTAGACTAAAGGACCTCTTAGGTTGACCCAATTAGACAAAATAATATAATTTACAAAATACCCTGCAATGACTGTGAGTTAGGTCAACTACATAGGTCAGACTAGTAGATCAGGAGTAGTGATATTATCAGAACATAAGAATTTAGCTAAGGGAAGAATGGTTGACCCTGAAAAGATAAGTAATTTATAAAAAAGCTCAGCAATCGCACTGCACGCATTGGCAAACAACCATACAATAGGGTGGGATAGGGTTAAAATTCTAATGAGTAACATAGGTAGGTGGAGAGAGAGGTTAATTACGGGATCCTTGTTCATTGAGTCTACACCCAACGCATGCAACAGAGATGACTCAATGCAAATACCAGAAATATGGGAGATATTATTACCGCCGGTCAAATCAGAAGAGAATAATAAATTATCTTAATATTCTATTTCAATTCAAGCACATCACAACATTCTAAGAAGTAACTTATTGTTACTATAAAAACACTCACTAATTATACTACTGTTTATTCTTTTACTGTAAGCTTCTTCGAACTGCCTAGTGGATTTTAAGGGATAGTTATTCAAGGCTTCTCCTTCTTCTCTCTGTTGTATTTCATTACTTAAGTTTTCTGAAGTTCTACCATAAGTGTCTTCACTCGGTTTGTTAAACACTTAACTACACTATGCCTGTCGTTTACAGATAACGGATGAGATGAACTAATGTATATGTATGTATTAGAATGAGTTGGCCTTTTTTATAAACGCCAATGCACAGTTTATCTATCTTCTTCTATTCGTTTTTATTTCACAATCTAACATACTTGATTCTACTTCAATAGTCTACACACAATGATAAGTTTTGTTATTGGTAATATTTCGAGCAAAATTGCTGCCCCTGTTCACACCACTGTTGGAATTGTTTGATTCACACATTTATGATTTGTACTCATACACAGATAGTTCATTATTTTTGCTCATTCATGTTTTTTTTTGTATTTGAGTTATATTCTACGTTCATTCATGTGTTTGTATTCAGAATTATATTCCAAGTTCATTATAAATTACTTAAATTAATCCCAGCGTGTTAAGAAAATCAAGACAAAATTTTTCTGAACGTTTCGCTGTGTAAGCCACAGCTTCTTCAGCAGATTTATTCGGATTTTTATTAATCATCAAAATATATAGTCAAAAATTTTACCTAAATTAAAGTCAGTTTATTTGAAGGTCATTTGTCTATGGACATTTTTACCAACAGAAATATGTAAGCAGTCATCACATATTTGTAATGACAAATGTCAAATTCATTATAATAAAGGTTTTTGTATTTCCCAATCAATGAAAAACAAAACGATATTGTTTTTACTGACGTTTCGCTATTTAATGCTAATAGCTTTATCAAAGTATTATAATGTCAAATTCTTGTTGTGTTCACTTTTTTATAGTTGATTTGTACAGATTAGTTTTGTATGAGTGTGTGTGTGTATGTATGTATGTTATTTGTCATATGGAAAATACGTGAATTCATATATGATAAACATGATCCTATATTTTCAAGTATTGGTTTTGTAGGGATCCTATATGTTTTAAAAGTTCATGGAGGCTCATAGAGTGTTTATTGCTTTTTCATCTCTTATATTGTGAACGACAGTAACTGTAAGAACTTAAATATTTTCCTGTTCAAGTAGATTTTCTATAAATTGACCGCTTCTCAGCGCTTTGAGCAAAGATCAAACGCAGTAGGAGTAGTTCTTTGCAGTGTAATTTCTGCGACGGCCTCTAAGTTGAGACCAATAAAATTGTGGTGGTGTAATACAGACAATGTGTTCCAACAGAATATTATTCTCACATATTCCCACAGTTCAACACTGGATTAGCAACAGAATACTACATGTGTATATTTGAACATTCTATTTCATGTCGTTTAATGTAAGCCAAAATCACACGCTCTATAAGTGGTTAGAGAATACAAAACTATATATATATATATATATATATATATATATATATAAAACTTGGGCACTATGGTAGTAAGTAATTCCATATTAGTTTGTTTATTAGATAAATCACACAGTGAGTGAAACAGTATTATTTACTGGATAACACAGTTTCGAACAAAATTTATTGTTCATAATCATTTCATCAATTGTACTCACACGACTTTGAGACTTGAGTTGTATAGTTTTCTTTATTTTCTCCTATTTGTCGTCGTCGGGGTAGTAGAATTTTCCAGATATCCATCTGGACAGGTGATGAATCATTCCTATTACACGCATTCTCTTCAGTTGATTCGATAAACAAAGCTTCTGTTATCAGTCTCTCCCTCCATTCACCCTGTGACATTAGATTTTAAAACTGTCATCCTATCCCATCCCATCCTATTGTACGGTTGTGTGTAACTGCATGTAGTGAGTGATACAGCTGAACTATTCTCTAGATTTCTTATTTTATTCGGGTCAACCAATCTAGATTTTGCTAGGTTTTTATGTTCAAGTAGTCTGACTCACTGCCCCTGTTCTACTAGTTTGACTTATGCATTATTTGACCTGACAATCATTCCAGCAGGGTATTAGATAGACTAAATTGTTTTGTTTTAAAGGCTCCACAGGATTGATCCTTTAACCGACAAAGCTTGTTTCTAATTGAGTTTGTGGGTTTGAATGGCAGCCGTTTTTATTCCTGTCTTATTAAGAATTCTACAGTTTTAAAATCTAATATCACAGCAGGATATAGGGAGAGATTGATAACAGAAGCTTTGTTTATCGAATCAACTGCAAATACATGTAATAGGAATGATTCATCACCTGTCCACCAAGGTATCTGGAAAATTCTACTACCCCGACGACGACAAATAGGAGAAAATAAAGAAAACTATACAACTCAAGTCTCAAAGTCGTGTGATTACAATTGATATGACTACGAACAATAAATTTTGTTCGAAATATTGTTATCCAGTTAATAATACTGTTTCACTGTGTGATATATCTAATGAACAAAATAATATGGAATCATGTATATATATAGTGTTTTGGTCACTTGAAAAGATACCTTGACTTCCGTGTCTTGCCCTCTGTTGTTACAAAATTACCTGTATTTTTCCCTTACGGACAGGTACTGTGAGCTTGTTCAACCTAGTCCACGGGTATGCCTCGTATTGCGCAATTCTGTCCTGTTCAATTAGGTTTCCTATAAACTGACCACTTCATTGAGTGTCATCTTCTTTGTGATTTAAAAGTATTGTCTAGGAATGCAAGTCGGTTGTACAACTTTCTCTATGTGTAAGACTTAGGTGATTTTGTCCAGAGTTGAGTCTATCCAGTCGTTTAAATTAAAATTATTTGAACGTTATATATGTTGATTTATTTATTTATTCTTGATCTAGAGAAGATCAATCCATATCTGATAATGCATTGATAGAACAAGGAAATTCGCAATCAACATGGTCAGTTCCATGGAAAGAAATGCTCAAGTCTAAAGCTGTCTGGTCTATTATCATAAGTCATTTCACCTATGATTGGGGTTGGTACACGTTAATCACATGTATGCCAACATATATGAGAAGAATTTTAGGATTTGATATGATGTCTGTAAGTTTGGTTTGATGGTTTGATTTATGTTTTGGTAATATATATATATTTTTGGGCAAACCAAGTTCACTTTTAACGGTTTGAAAAAATTTGGGCATTGGGTATATGATATTCATTATAATAAAGGTTTTTGTATTTCCCAATGAATGAAAAACAAAACGATATTGTTTCTCTTACTGACGTTTCGCTATTTAATGCTAATAGCTTTATCAAAGTATTATTAGAGTATCATTAGAGTTTTCTTCAAAACATCAGACACACTACGAAACAACCTTGTTCATATAAAAGACCAGATCCCTAAAGATTCTCTATCTAATTGTGTGTATGAAATAAAATGCTTGGAATGTGATGCGATATACATCGAACAAACGTCTCAAGAAATCAAAATCAGAAGAAATGAACACCGTAGAGCATCTCTTCGACCACCGAGAAATCCTGCTGAACTACAAAAACTTGAAAAATCATCAGCCATAGGTCTACACGCTATAGAATCAGGCCACAAAATTGATTTCGACAATATTGAAATAATCCAGAAAATGCATTTCAGAAATCACAAAGAACGTCTAATATCATCAGAAGCACTTCATATCAAGTGGAATCCAAATTGTCTGAACTGAATAGGAATGATGGACTAAAACAGAATCTGACCTGGTTACAACACCTCCCTCCCCTCCCCCATGAAGTGACAAAATCAACACGAATGTGATAAGCAAGTTCACTATGTAAACACACACTGCTTTTATAATTTTACACACTGATCAAATCCAACAATCTACACTTGGTTTTGATTTTGTTATCTTTACCAATTGACCAACTTGACAACGAAAAATGACCCCAGACTAACGAACGATGATCAAGTTAGTAAACTTTATTTTGATATCATAACAGATGTACTATTACCTTTGTTATTTGGTTTAGTGACTTTCAATATGTCCTTTTAACTTGACCTAAGTCTATTTTCTCACCCCTTAACTCTTTGTTATATATATATGCTGAGTGGATTTTGTAAATTCCGGTTTAATAATACTTTGATAAAGCTATTAGCATTAAATAGCGAAACGTCAGTAAAAACAATATCGTTTTGTTTTTCATTCATTGGGAAATACAAAAACCTTTAATATATATATATATTTATTTTGCGTTCTGAAAGGGAATACTTGGCGTCAGTAGCACATCTAAATTCTGCTCAGTTCTCTACATCAACCACGAACTCACGCCTAACTTGTCGCTTCCTTTTTCGAGTTCCATCTGAGGGCCTCGGGTAAGGGAATTGATATCACTCTACTATCTGTTTAGGGAATTTCCAATCCATCTTCACCCGTTTCGGTATGTTTTTTGGGCATTTATATGCTGACATTATTAGCCAGTTGCGTGCAGTCTTGTTTTGATCAGTCTTCATTTTTATTCACTCACGATTAGACTTAGCCATCCATATTCACTTTAGATATCGTAGAGATTTTGTGGTTTTCATGAATTTAAAAAGACTGAATTATTTAGCCTTACTCTCCAGGATAACGAGAAGACAGGGATATCCTGGACCGACGTGAACAACCTAGAAGACCTGGATTTCGCGCGTGGATGATTTATGTTTGATGTCACACAAAATCGAAGACTGACAAGCGAAAACCGACTGACAAACTGGTCGAAGAAGCAGCCAGAGAAGATAGGACTCCAGGTGAACATAGACAAGACGGAGGTTATGAAAATAACCAACCAACCAACAACAACAACAACAGCAACATCCACCGCCAATCACCATCAAAGGGAGGGATTTGAAAGAAGTTACTTCATTCACTTATCTAGGAAGCATCCTCTCAACTACACGAGGAACGGAAGAGGATGTCACATCGAGAATCGGGAAGGCAAGAAACACATTCATCAACCTGAAACCAATCTGGAAATCTTCGTCACTCACTCAGCATCAACAACAAAATGATTCGGATTTTCAATACAAACGTCAAGTCAGTCAGTTCTTCTATACGTATGGATCAGAAACTTGGCCAGTGTGTCACAAAGAATATTTCCAACAGCCTGTTGCAGACATTTATCAACAACAACTGTCTTCGCTGGCTCTATACTGAAGATCAGATGGCCACCGGAAAGAACAAGAACCAACAAGAAACTATGGGAACAAACAAAACAAGAACCAATCGCTCAACAAATATGCAGGAGAAAGAAGTGGAGATGGATTGGACACTGGCTGAGGAGGCCGCTGGGTGACATCGCGCGTCAGTCAGGCCAGTGCTCGAGTGGAACCCGAAAGGGAAGCGGCGAGTTGGTCGTCAGTGCAAGGGTAACATGGAGGAGATCTTGTGAAGAGGAGCTGAAACAGTATGGACTAACATGGATGCAGGTGAAAAGTACAGCAGAAGAGAGAAGCAAGTGGAGACGTACAGTTGTGTTGAAGCCCTATGTTCCACTAGGAACCCAAGGGAACAACTATAATAACTCTCAGTGCAGATTTCGTCAAGAATCAAAATCAGATAAATAGCTGTTTCGTCCTAGGGTGAGATTCCTCAACGTTGCTTGCCCACAACCTCACCAGCCACTGGATTGAATAGTGCAATAGCACGAACAAACAACCACAGTTTAAATTCGCCGGTCACTGAAATCCATCTAGCTCAAGTGGCTAAATGACTGACTATCTAGCTTGTTCTGTTAATCTAAACATACCTTATGCGGTAGTCAGTGTGATTGGGTGCGGGTGCACGTTCTGAAGAGTTCTGAAGTAGGACAAAACATCTGTCTAGTTGCTCCTATCTATGGAATGATCTCTAACTGATGTTGTTGGTTAGTGTTACTGTTATCTTAATGTAGAGATGTGAATTATCAGCTTAAATGCTCCACTTTCAGCTCCCCCACGGCTGAGTCCCGCTTCACTTACTGCAACAGTAATCGCACCTTGATGTGGAATGTTTAGCATGCATGGATAAGATTCAGAAACTATCTTGTCTCACATTCTCCTGTTCAGTGATTTTTTTTACTGTTGCATTCATATAGGCTACTTACAACATATGAGTCTGATTTCACAAAGCTTAATTACCCTAAATAGGTCGTGTACCACAGCATACAAACAAAAACCTCTTGAACTCGGCGGTTTGACAATGCTAATTCATTCTATCTACTCATTTTTTGAGTTTTGTATCTTTGAAATATATAAACGTAACCTGGTAAAGTGTCTGGTTCATAGAGCTAAGTTAATCTGCTCAGACGACTGCCTCAATGAGGACCTTAAGATTATTAGAGAATCACTTAGAAAAAATGATTATCCAGATAAATTCATTGAGAAGAATATGAATTCAGCACCAAGGAGAGTCAGTATGGCTACAGTTCCGAAGAAACCAATGTTCATAAAATTGCAGTTCCTCGGTGACAACATCAGCGAAATCATAACACAGCGCCTGAAGGATACAGTTAAAAGAGCTTACTATGCAGCAGAAGTACGTTGTTTCCTCACAACCACCCCTATTCTATGTTCGAGAAATAAGGATAAACTACCTAATTTTGCCTCTTCTGTGTGTATCTACCAGTTTGACTGCAGCTGCGGAGCCAGCTACATTGGGCGTACAATTAGGCAGGTTCATCATCGTATTTCCGAACATCATCCTGCAGCATGGTTAAGCAAGGAACAAACAAGATCTATTCGTAGTTCTATTTTAGCACACCTTGTTGATACTGAGCATAAGGTTGATGTTAATACTGCATTTAAAATTATTTATCGCATTCCGACCAATCTTAATTTTGCTCTACGAGTTCGTCTTCTACATACCACAGCTGAAACAATAGGAATCCACCTGAAGAAGCCAAGCCTATGTGTTCAGAAGAAATTTGTACAGCCACTTTCCTTACCGTGGCCATCGTTACAAGAATCCATAAACAGGACTACGTCGCCCCCTCCCCCTAAACCTTCAAAAACTATAAAAAAAACTATAATTGTCCGAATTATTTTATTTTTATTTATTTTGACCACTTCATCTTCAATTACGTGTTATCCTTGTAAAATTAATTTATTTTAACCATTTCTACCTTTTAAGTGTGTGTATTGATTTTCTTCGTTAATTATCAACCCACTAACATTTTGACACTGTTTAATTATTGTTAACAAACATATCGCCACTTGTTTGGTAAACTGTTGTGTATTGTAATAAAAATGCTATACAGAATATATTAGAGTAGAGCCAGATTTGAGGATCTAATTGAAAAGTAAATATTTCTTCGTTCAATCTTTCTGCTATCTATACCTCTTACTGTTTGAATTACTTCAACAAAACATCATTTTCTGAAGTAGTAGTAGTAGTATTATACACAATCCGAAAGTATTAATTCCTCTGCATATTTCTGTCAACGCCCTGTTCTCTATCACCGGGTGATGATTAGACTTTGACGAAGAAGTCGATAATACTCTAAATAATATACCAATCAGTGGTCACACTTGAAGCAAATCGAATACCTACGAATTAACTCTCGAAAATTGATCTGATACTCACTATTATTGACTAGCTACAGAAAGGTGTCACCTGGAGTGAGTTCTAACGAGAAGTCGTGACTAGTGCAGTTCACCTGGTCGGAAGTGAGGATAAATACTCGTCAAAGACGTTGATTGGTGGTTGTGATAAAATTATGGAATGGTCAACGTTAGAATTCATAAACTGGTCACTGAGTCGGGTTCCGGTGACTGGATGGTCTACGAGCTTGACTTGTCTCCAGAAGGTCCTGGGTCCGGATCCCATCTGCTGTGTACTGCCGATGAGTTCTAAACTAGAAGGAAACAAATATCCAGTACTCCCTGCTGGTTTCCAGTGTGTCTTTCATGGTCATCTATCTGTAGTCAAACTTGAGTTAGAGAACCATTGGAAAACCTGGGAGTACTGGACAGCTGTTTCGTTCTAGTTTGGGTCTCCTCAATCAGGGTGTGTGAAGTGGTCTTGCTATGTAGTGAATTGTCAGAATTAATATATGTGTGGTGGTAGTAAGTAATTCCATATTATTATTAGACATATCACACAGCGAAACAGTATTATTTACTGGATGACATTTGGAACAAAATTTATTGTTCATAATCATTTCATCAGTTGTAATAACACGACTTTGAAACTTGAGTTTTATAGTTTTGTTTGTCCTCTCCTATTTGTCGTCATTGGAGTAGTAGAATTTTCCAGATGTCCATCTGGACAGGTGATGAATCATTCCTATTACATGTATTCGCTCTCAGTTGATTCGATAAACAAAGCTTCTGTTATCAATCTCTCCCTATACCCTGTGACATCAGATTTTAAAACTGTCATCCTATCCCATCCTATTGTTTTGTTTTAAAGGCAAAACAATTTAGTTTATCTAATACCGTGCCTGAGATGATTGTCAGGTCAAATACATAGGTCAAACTAGTAGAACAGGGACAGTCAGACTAGCTGAACATAAAACTTAAGCAAAATCTAGATTGGTTGATCCAAATAAGATAAGAAATCCAGAGAATAGTTCAGCTATAGCACTCACCACATGTAGTTACACACAACCACACAATAGTTTGATGGGATAGGATGACAGTTTTAAAATCTAATGTCATAGGGTGGAGGGAGAGATTGATAACAGAAGCTTTCTTTATCGAATCAACTGCAAGTACAAGTAATAGGAATGATTCATCACCTGTCCAGACGGATATCTGGAAAATTCTACTACCCCAATGACGCCAAATAGGAGACGACAAAGAAAACTGCAAAACTCAAGTTTCAAAGTCGTGTGATTACAACTGATATGATTATGATCAGTAATAAATTTTGTTCGAAACCTCGTCATCCAGTAAATAATACTGTTTCACTCACTGTGTGATATACCTAATAAACAAACTAATATGAATTGTCAGAAGTTAGAATTCATGGCCATTGAATCGAGTCCCACTGGCTTAACGGTCTACGAGTTAGCTCGCCTTGTAACCAGAAGGTCGTGGGTTCAAACCTCGTGGTGGGTGCGTGCTGATGAAGAGTCCCAAACTAGGACGTAGGAAGCGGTTGTCTAGTATTCCCTGCTAGTTTTCCAATGGTTCAGCTCATCATGAAATCCTCTAACTTTGAATATTTTGGTGATATGTTGAATATATTAAAAGTTCTACTAAATCTGTTACTATATATTAAAATTTTTTAAAGAACATACGGATTTCGAAAAAATAACAGTAATGACAGACTACGTCATTCTATTTTGTCCTATTCCATCGTCACAGTCATTATTCTTATGCTTATGATTACCATCGTCACCATAATGGGAACTATCACCGTCACCAGTAAGACTAGTGGTGTAAAACTCAGTCAGCTCGTCACTACATTAGTTGAAAGGCATGTAAATACATGCGAAAAATGGTCTAAAACCATACTCTCCGACCCCCCTCCCCAACACCCCCTCTATTCCCAACTCTCGCCTTGTATCTCATCAAGTAAAACCAGAAATCAGTATAAAATAATCCATGCTCGTACAACCAAGTACAGGAACTCAACGATACCATACTTGGCCCGTGTTCTAAGTGACAGAGACAATGTTAAGCGCGAAACCTATGACTTGCTTTGTTGTTAACAAAATAATTTTAGGCTCTTTTATTTCTCTCTTATTTGGTATTCTATAATGAACTCCTCAAACATACTTAGCTACCTAAATTATTAACATTGGCGTACTTTTTTGTACTTTACTCTATTCCTTCTTTTGTATGTCTACTGGTTCAGAATATATTAGCAATATGAGTATTACGAAATTGTCCTGTCATTAACCATCATGTAATTATTAGTTTTTGTGGTTGTTTTCTCTTATTTTTTATTTTTTTTCGGCAATATTAACTGACAATCATTGGTTGTGAAAGCCATTATCACCATCTTAGAATTTTGTATTATGCAGGATTACTCACACTTCCACCACAAACACTGCATTAGACCTGACAACAACAAAAAACAAAACAACAACGCTGAAATGTTATTTTATGGTTGTTTAGTGTTGTTTCAACCAAATTAACTGATCATCTTGGCGATAAACATTCTTAAATATCATTTCATAACTTCTTGTATGACTACAGCTTTATTGTCACCATGCATAATCATATCATTGCTTCCACTACCTAATACTGAGATTTTATTATGTGCGGTTTATTTTCCTTTCTACTTCTTGGTATTTTTTCGCATTTTTAAAATTATTTTTGTGTTTTTTTTGTTGTTGTCTTTAAATTTATTTTTTGAAATACTCCTTTTAAGTGTCTGGTAAAATTAGATGCAAATATTGTAGATATGTGCCAAAAATTCCACACTGTACCACTAGTACTGTTTCTGGAATAAAGCAAATCACTATAATTATTATCATTATCTCTCCGATTTCTGATATAACTGAAACTTTTTGTTTGATTTTTTGTTTTTGTTTTAACAGAATGGTTTATTGTCATCTGTACCGTATCTGGTACAAATTATTGTCTCATTGACAATTGCCTATGTATCAGATATCCTGATATCAGGAAATTTACTATCAACAACATGGATAAGACGTGTCAATAATTTTATTGGTAAGTCGATTTTCTTTTTCCCCTCTGTGTCTAACTATTATAATTATCATTATTACTGCATTAAGATGTACAAAAACTGACATCATTGGGAAAAGTTGTGAACAGTGAAGTGCATCCAGTCGAGAGTGAGGATGGATTTCCCGTCGATGACATTGGTGGTTGGTGGTCACGCTAAATTCATCACGAAGTGATAGGAGTTAGAATTCATGCACTGGCCATGGAGGAATCGGATCCCAGTGGCTGAATGGTATACGAGCTTGCCTTGTAACCTGAGGGTGCTGGGTTCGAACCCGTGCTGGTGGGTGCGTACTGTCGATGAGTCACAAACTATGCTGGTGAAACAGCTGTCCAGTACTCGCTTCTGGTTTTCAGTGGTGGTTCTCTAACTGATACCAATCCGTGGTCGAACTCAAAAAACAAATTTACTCTTCAAAAATAATTGGGAGAATCATTAATTCATTGATTATGATAACTAACTTCCGTTCATAATAAATGATTGTAGAATAGATGAGAAATCATTGCTGATAAGGTTCATCATTTCGTGAGGAGAATAGTGGGGGTTTAATTTATCCCGAAGTTCACAAAGGGTAAATGCATTTGTGCCATTATTATTATTGTTATTATTATTATTGCTTCCTTTAGTTCCTAGAGGAAAATACGGCTTCAGCCGTGCGTCTCCATTGCGTTCGCTTCTCTGCTAGAGTCTTCATCTCACTCCAAGTCTGCCCACACGCTTTCATCTCCTCTTCACATCACCTCCTCCAAGTCACCCCACCCTCACACTGACGACCAACTCGCCGCCGCTTCCCTTTCGGCCAGGTATCACTCGACCAATGGCTTGTCTAGTCATGTCACTCACTTGATGGTTTGTTTCCTCAGAGTATGGCCAGCCAATCCACCTACCTCCATTTCTTCCTGCCTATTTGTTTCACAATCGGTTCCTGCTCGGTTGGTTCTCTCCCAGAGATTTCTGTTGCTGATATTTTCTGGCCGGCCGTCTGATCTTGAGTATTGAGCGAAGACAGCTGTTGATGTAGGTCCGTAGTTTGTTCGAAGTGCCCTTCGTGACTCGGGCCCAAGTCTCTGATCCGTAAAATAGCACTGACTTCACAATGGATTTGAAAATCCGGATCTTATCTTCGTTTTGATGCTGAGTAGTGCTGTTGACCTCCACACAGACTTGAGAGTAGTGAAAGCTTGTCTTGCTTTCATGGTCCTCGTTTTGATATCCTCTTCAGTTCTGCCTGTAGTTGAAACGATGCTTCCCAGGTAGGTAAGTAGGTGAAGCAGGTTACTTGTTGCTGCTGCTGGCCAGGAATCTTCATCACTTACCTCTGTTTTCTCTATGTTCACATGAAGTCCTATCTTCTCTGGATGCTTCTTCTGCCAACTTGTTGCTTTTCATCACTTGCATATCTTCCAGTTTTGTGCCATTAGCAAGTTCTTGTTATCATATCACCAATAGTCTCTCGCGAATTGGTTTTAGCTTCTCGAGTTCTCCTGTAAAGCAGTCTGTACCTCCAAGCAGTCTATACTCCCAAGCCAACCTATCAAACCAAAAGCCCCCAAGGAAACCACGAAGAAAGTCGCCCTGCCATATATAAAGCATATATCAGAAATCACTGCAAGACTCATCAAACCTTTAGGAATTGACGTCTCACACAAAACCAACAAAATCACTTCACTCAGTTCTATGTCAACCGAAAGACTCAACAGCGAAAGATGATACAACCAACATCATCTCCAAGACAAATTGTAACAACTGCGAAAAGCACTACATTGGCCAAAGTGCACGTCCCCTTCGTCTTCATGTCCACAAATATAAGCTAGCCGTCAAAAGACATGACATCCACTCCCTCATATCACTCGCTGCATACAGACAACCACGAACATCAATTCGATTGGGACAATGTTCAAATATTAGACAGAGGAAACAACAAAAATGCTAGAGAATTTTTAGAAGCCTACCTGGTATTCCAATGAATCATGAATCAATAGACACATCGAGATTGACAAAATTTATCAACCGTTAAGAAGGAAACCTCACACACAAAGCGTTAAAGTTCAAGTCAAAAAAACAATCAGTTCCAATACAAGTAGCCTAGAAGGTATGAAAACGTACAAAAACAACCAATCACGTCCAAGGTCACCCACTAGGAGAGATGATTAATAAACTCGTAGAGAAGTCGAAAAGCTCACTTCAACCAATTGAAGTATGCAGTGAAGATGTCACCTAGTAGGGCGATGAAAGCTTTGCAAATTAACTCTCCAGCTCAGAGAACACAACCACATCAAAATCATCCACCTGAGCTACAAATCTTCTCCATCAAATCTAAGTCTGTACCTTTGTATATGACTCACACCAGTTGTCAAGGACTTTAAGCGCTGATTCCACCCATGTTTTAGTTTGACCATCCGAAACCCTTTCCTAACCTAATACTGTCTCACATAACTTTGGTTGACGAGGAAGACAGTGTCTCAGCATGCTCAACACGTGTCGCAGTCGATTCCCTTTCACAGCATCATCGATTGACCACCCGTCTTTGCTTAACACTCAACTCCTAATCTCAACACTGAACACCGCATTAAACCATTTAGTATGGCAGATAGAATATGAACATTTGTGGTCAAGGACAGTTAGCCCTTTTTCGTGTCTTTCACTCTCAATGATCATGTGTCATAGGCAGAACGAAAGAGAAAGTGAACTATTGAGCATTATACACATCTTCCGACTGATAGGCGAATATCACTTTTACTCCAAGGATAATAATAATTATTATTATTTGCTTTATTCCAAAACAGTACTTGTGATACAGAATGGAATTCTCAGCATTTTGTTTACTACAGTATTGCATCCAGTTAGTACATTATCAATAAATAAAATTCTACATAGATTAAGGAAATCTCAGTTCATTATGACAACAACACATTGGCATGTCGGTAGCATAGTCAAAGCTGAACAGCGTTTGAAGGTGTTAGAAAAGTAGGTGCTATCATATTTACTGGCGTAAGCGAGAGAAAGAAACAAAGCAGCAGATAACGGAAAGAAATAAAAAAGAGAGAAAAGGAAAAGAAAGATAGAAAATATTGTACTTATAAATCATATGAGTTGGAAAGACGAGGCCCAGTTGTTCTACTGACTATTTAATGAATTATAGGTGTCACACCTAATGCTTTCTTTATCGCACAGAACACGAGCTAAGTAGGGTATGGTTGAGTTTTTGTACTTGCTGGTGCGAGCATATAGTTTTCCATGTAGGCTTCTGGTTTTGCCTGGTGAGATGCAAGGGGAGGGGAGAGTTGCGAGTGAAGAGAGTGGTGTGAGTTAGATAAAAATTGATTTGGCCCATTTTTCACATGAGTCCATGTGCCTGTCAACCAGGCACAAGTTAGAAAATGCTAATAGAACCTTTTGTTTCCGCGCATAGATTTCTTCAGAGATCAGTCCACTGAGGCTGATACAACTGCTCAAATAATTGAAGTGGTCAACACACCTTCACCAAGTTACTCGGGATCTTTAAACTAGGAGTTGGTGTAGTCCAATCCCGTTGCATCATCTTACGCTTGGATGAAGCGAAACGCATGCCAGACATTTAAAGATTACTGATCATGGTGTTCAGAAGATTTTGTCTTTTGTCAGTGTCTTCGCCTAGGGGGAAATTATCATCCGCATACTCTAAATCAACCAGACTTTTCAATGGTAATAAGTCGATCCTTAAGTGGGGTCAGGTGGGAAAACAGGGAAAAAGTGGGCAATATGGGCCAAATGAGAAACATCGGTTGCATTTACACCATCTTTTGCCCACCTGTTTGCCGATCAAATTTACCCATTTATACCACGTTTTGGCCACTTTGCCCAGCTGCATTAAACCACTGGGCATTATCATGATCATGAGTGGATCAACAGTGTAATTAATATCACATTGATTCCGACCGATGGAAATCATTGACGCCTGATGAAGCATTCTGCTGGATGATGAATCAGTCATCGAGCGAATTGGTGACAGACTGACACACTGACACACTGACTGATACACGTACGGGCTTACTCACTCACCGATTTCTGATTCGCTCAATTCCTTTTCACCAATCATCATTCGGAGGTTCCAATTCGATTGAATTATTGCTTGCTTGTCGTCGATAGTGTTGTGCTACGCGCGCGGTCGCTCGCTCAGTCTGTTCGCTTCAGTCAACGAGTCGTCGATGAATTGTGATGAGGTGAGATGATGAGGCGACTACTCATGTCTTTTCGCTTGTTGTATGCAATGACGTGAAATGTCTTGTGTGTAGTTGTCATCAGTGTAGACTACTGTTGCATGTGTCATTTGACTTGTATGTTGTGTAAGTAGGTGTTGAGAGAGACAGTGTTTGTTCGTGTGTTTGTGTGTGTGTGTGTATGTGGGATGGAGCGAGAGAGGGAGAGGGAGAGAGAGGGTGACTGAGTGACTCTATTCGTCAGTGAGAGAGTGAGTTGCGTGAGTCAGTGAGTGAATGAATGTGAATTAGTGTGAGGGTGACATTGTGCTTCTCTCTGTGTATCGGTGTATGTGAGTGTGTGGGTGTCCGGGTGTTTCGGTGTGTTTCGGTGTGTGTGTGTGTATGAGGATGGGTAGGCCCGTGACAATATATGAGCGTGATTGGTGTGTAGATCGAGGTAGGACTGTTGGGAAGTGTTGTGTGTCAGTGTTGGGTTTGGGTTTGTGTTTGTTATTTAATGGATTTGAGTGTGTGCGTGCGTGTTCGCCTGTCTATCTGTGTATGTGTGAATGCGTGTGCTTTGAGGATAGTGAATTTGTGTGTAGGCTTGCGTTGATTGGTTTGTGCTTGTGAGTGGATATGAATGTTGGGTATAATTTGAGTGTGTGTGACCGAGTGGTTTCTAATATAAAGTAATATATATAATGTCAGACGGCATTGTGTTCCCCGTCTTTTGAAGAAAACCATTTCAATTAGTTGCCATCTTCGTTACTTCAAGGACTGAAGCATCTCTGTCTATGAGGATTTCTATTTTCTCATTCATTGCCCAATGGATGGCTTTGATTCCTGTATGGTTTTTATCAATTCTACTTGAATGGTTATAAACTGATTTTTGTTGCTTTATAAGCTTTAAATGACGAATGTTTATTTGGGCATTGTCTTTCGTACCATCCTTCGAAATACCGGTTTTTAAGTCACACGCTTTACTCTTTTAGAAAAGTTTGATGAATATGTTTGCTTGCTTCTCAATAAGCGATAGATTTTTCTCCCCCAATTAAGAGGTTTAAACATAACACAGAATACTCCAGATACTCTCGTAAATCTCATAGCTTTGTAGATAACTCTTAATTATATGAAACAGACGGCGTCGGATTCCAGGTTCAGTATGAACAAACACTACCATCTAATTTATGAAAATTCCATGATGTACGCCTTGGACTGCACTCTTTTTTTTATTTCTTCACGTTCCCAGTGGAACATAGGGCTGCAAGCTAGTAGCTGGAAGTTTCTGTAGCGGTGTTTATTTTACAGGATGGGGTTGCTAGCCTCATGCCCAACCTTCCCTCTTCACCAGCATTATTTGTGGCTTAGCGAGGTAAAGGAGTGCGTCTGTGGCCGGGGATCGAACCCCGGAACATGTGCATAGTCGGCGAGTGTCCTAACCGCTATGCCACCAACGCACGGACTGCACTCTTAATCAATATCTTTTCCAGTACCAAGGTAAATACTTTGTCGGTCGGTTTTCGACATAGAACTTTGCACATATGTGCGCCAGTTCAAGTCGACACACTCCACTCCTTGTACCACACAAAGCAAGAGAAGAAAGTACGAGAAATGCATAATATAGACAGTAAACAGAGGTGTGAGACAAAGGAATAGTAATAACGAAGAACAAAACGGTTTCATTGGAAATCATGAGTCACAGGGAGTGGATGCATCTGCACCAGCCATTGAGAACGATTTTGAGCTAGCCATGTCACCAATTGTTTCCAGCCTTCATTGGTTTTTACCTATCCGAGGACCCCAACCAGTCAGGAAGCCAGCCTACACCTTCCTACGTGGCTGGCTTAGACTAACTGTTGTAGATTTCATTGTTTTCGTTTGACCGCCGCTAGCTCTTTTCCAACCTGACTCTATATCAGCAAACATTGCCCGTCGAGGAAAGTTATGACTAGGCATACGTAGCACATGTCCTAACCATCTCAGTCGAAGTGATTTCACTGTTTCGTCGATTGATTTCCCCGCCTTACCTAGCACTCGACGCCTAACTTCAATATTGCTCACCTTATTACACCACTTCACGCGGGAGATAGAACGCAGACAGTTAATCTTTTCATGTCTTCCGCTCTCAATTGCCAAGTTTCACAGCTAGCCATAAAGGAGGACGGAGCGGACTGATGAGCAGTACACACGCCCTTTGGTTGACACCCAGCCGGATATCACGTCTACTAAGCCAGAGACGGCGTAAACTGGCATATGCGAAACTAGCCCTCTGTATTCGTACTGAGATTTCGTCTGAGATCAACCCGTTGGCACTGGCTGATGGTACTTCCAAAGTAAGTGAAGCGGTTAACGTGCTCTACCACTTCACTTCCTATTTCTAATCTAGGGGTCGGTGGAGTCCAATCCTGCAACATCATCTTACATTTTACAGGGTCATGGCACCCAATCCAACGCCATGACTCAAACAAATACTTTGTAGATGAATATGAGTAGAATAGGAACAAAACACAATGATTCACAGTAATTATTAATTATCATCATAATTCCTGCTGTTATTCTTATTTTTTTAGCTTTAGGAGGACTTGGAACAGGAATCCTTTCTGTTATCTTTGTTGGATGTAATGCGTATGCAGCTGTAGCCTTATTCTCTGCAACCATCGGTTTTATGGGTTTTTCAGCTGGTGGATTCTTTTCAAACAATTTAGATTTATCTGCACAATATGCTGGTAAATGATTGGTACTCTCATTTTGTTTCAATTTCCTTATTATTATAATTATTGCTTATGACGAGTGTGACATCCGGCTATCAAACAACGGACGTGTGTACTGCTCACCGATTCGCTCGGTCCTTCTCTATGGCTCTGAAACATGGCCAATACGAGTTGAAGACATGAAAAGGTTGACTGTTTTTGATCGTAGATGTCTACGATGTCTTTCTCAGGTTACGTGGTATAATAAGGCGGTAAGTAATGTTGACGTTAGGCGTAGAGTGCTGGGCAAAGAGGGAAAATCAATCGACGAGGCTATAAAGTTACATAGATTGAAATGGCTAGGTCACGTGCTGAGCATGCCTAACCATCGCCTCCCCCACCCCGATGGGCATCACTAGCTGATATAGGTGTAGGTTGGAAAAGAGTAAGTGGTGGCCAAACAAAAACATGGCCTCATCAATCCATGAAATCCTTGACAGTTAAACTGAGTCAGTCAGGTAGGGAGGGAGGGAGATGCAGACTTCCGGGTTGGGGCCCGACCCGCCCTCGGGACTCTAAGAATCAATCAATGGCTGGAGACAGACAATAGGCGACATGGCTCAAAATCGTTCGTTGTGAATGGCTTACGCAGATGTATTCAGTCTCTGTAATCTTTCATATTCATTTCTACCATTACTCATTCTTTCTGTTTCACTCTTCTACTTGTCAAAACCCTATTGATTCTCTTCACTCGTTTTCTTGTCTACCTTTATGTGTTTTATGGAACGTGGCAACTGGAACTGGTGCACTTCGGTGCCAAGTTCTATGTTGAATCCAGCCAGCCAGCTTATGACGAAGTGATATCAATCAGTCAGTAAAATGTTGAAAGCCAAATAGCGTTCAGTAACTTCTTTGTCTTAGTGTCAGGCTCTATGACAATGCGCATTCCATGGGGTATCGAATTCAAGGCGTTTAGGTTATCAGATAAACAAACCAGTTGACGACAATTTAGCTATTGGGATTAAATTCAACAGTCCATGAATTCTAACTTAGGCTTGTCAGCGACTTTTTCTGTACCACCACCAATCAATACCTTTGTGTCAGTCTCTTGATCTGATATAGTACATTGAGATACCATACAATTCTCTAGTTGAAGTTTCCAAATCACTTGATTGTACATAATTGCCGGCAAAGTAATCGCACTTTAGTACAGTTGACTGAAGAAAAAGAAAGCGGGACGATTTACTGCATCTTTGTTAGCTGAGTTAACAACGCTGATTACACGGAATGAAAGTGCGTCGGTGGCATAGCGGTTAGGAGGCTCGTCGACCATGCACATGGTCCGGGATTCGATCCCCGGCCACAGACACACTCCTTTACCTCGCTAAGCCAGAAATAATGCTGATGAAGAGGAAAGGTTGGGCATTAGGCTAGCAACCTCATCCTGTAAAAATAAACACTGCTACAGAAACTTCAAGCCTCTAGCTTGAAGCACGATGTTCCACGGGAGAACGTGAAGGAAAAAAACACGGAATGGAAAATGATTCAGCGATTATTTCAAATGTTAATTACTTCAAGATATTGTGTTTCTTTTAATTTCTTGTTGATTGATTCTATTGGGGTGAAGAGGTAATTATCTGTAGACAGCTGGGTAACTACCAAAGATGCTTTGATGATGCCTTAAACTATAATCCAGTTGATGAGTCTCAAGTTGGACAAAACGTGATTTTTAAATTCTACTAATAGTCAACAACATCCAAGGGACCTTAAACAAACTCACCAAAACTGGACAGATCACAAAACATGACCAATGGCGAATGAAATCCAATGGACCAGTCCTACCCCGATTCTATGGCAGACCCAAAATACACAAACCAAATATCCCACTACGACCAATTGTATCGCTCCCAGGAACTCCAACATATAACTTATCGAAAGAATTATACAGAAAACCGAAACACCTAAAGGAATCTTGTGATCACTCCATCAACTCTGCTATCCAATTCCTAGAGAAAATCAAAGGCATCCAAATAGATGAACAAGAAATAATGATATCCTTCGACGTCACAGCATTATATACCTCAGTCAGACAAAAACTAGCAAGGGAGACCATGCAACAATTACTCAGCAAAGACGAACACCTCCCACAACAATCGAAAATGCAACACACAAGCTGGATGGAATGCATAAACCTATGCCTAACAACGTACTTCCAATTCAACGGCCAAATATGTGAACAAGTGAAAGGAACACCCATGGGATCGCCAATATCAGGTTTGATTGAAGAAGAAGTGATGCAAAGGCTCAAAAACATAATCCTACCAAAGATCAAACCCAAGATTTGGATATATTACGTGGGTGACACATTTGTAATAATCAAAAGAAACGAGTTAGATAAAACTCACAACTTAATAAACAACGTCTTCAACGACATCAAATTCACAAGAGAAGAGGAATCCGAGAACAAAATCCCATTTTTGGATGTCTTAGTCAAGCGAACAACCACAAGGGAATTAGAAACTCAAGTCTATAGAAAATCAACTCACACAGACCAAATCCTGAATTACAACAGTAACAATCCAATAACACACAAGAGGAATTGCATACAAACACTATACTCAAGAGGGCCAGGACTCATTGCAGCACTCCCACCTTAAGGAAAATTGAAGAGAGATATCTCATGGACGTCTTCCAAAAGAATGGATATCCACGGAATTTCGTCAAAAGATATACACCCCCAAGCCAACCTATCAAACCAAAAGCCCCCAAGGAAAGCACAAAAAAGTCGCCCTGCCATATATAAAGGACATCTCAGAAATCACTACAAGACTCTTCAAACCTTTAGGAATTGACGTCGTACACAAACCAACAAAGTCACTCCACTCAATTCTATGTCAACCAAAAGACTCAACAGCGAAGGAAGATAAAACCAACATCATTTACAAAATAGATTGTATCAACTGCGAAAAACACTACATTGGCCAAAGTGGACGTCCCCTTCGTACCCACGAACATAAGCTAGCCGTCAAAAGACATGACATCCTCTCCCTCATATCACTCGCTACATACAAACAACCACGGGCATCAATTCGACTGGGACAACGTTCAAATATTGGACAGAGGAAACAACACCAAGAATGCTAGAGAATTTTTAGAAGCCTACCTGGTATTCCAGTGAATCATCAATCAATAGACACATCGAGATTGACAAAATTTATCAACCGATAAGAAAGAATAGTCACACACAAAGGGTGAAAGTTCAAGTCAAAGAAACAATCAGTTCCCATACAAGTAACCTAGAAGGTGTGAAAACACACAAAAACAACCAATCACGTCCAAGGTCACTGGGAGAGATGAATAATAAACTCGTGTAGAAATCTAAAAGCTCACTTCAATTCAAACTGAAGTATGCGCTGAAGATGTCACCCAGTAGGGTGATGAAAGCTTCGCAAATTAACTATCCAGCTAGCTCAGAGAACACAACCACATCAAAATGACTGAGTTTTACACCACTAGTCCTAATAACCGCCTTCAACATCCCTCTCAGGATGGTATAGTCCTTTTTCAGTAGCCCAGGAAAGACTAACGGGGAGCAGTAAAGTAGAATAGGTAAGATACAAGAGTTGACAAATTGTGAAAATAGAGGTTGGGTGATTCCAGATTGTCTAAGTTTCTTAATGTAGTAGGTATTAGACAAGCTAAATTATTATTTTATTTTGATGGGCTTCACAAGATCTTTTAATCAATATAATTTATTTCTAAGTGATTTTGTAGATCTGAGTGCTACTTCCTATTCCTGTCTTGTTAAGAATCCCATGTAAGGCACCCTTACTGGTTGTGGTATGACACTGTTTTACTTAGCGATATATATATATATATATATATATATATATTAGATCCGATTAGATCTTCATCTCTGGCTCTACTCTAATATATATCCATAGCATTTTTATTACAATACAAAACAATCTACTAATCAAGTGGTGATATGTTTGTTAACCATAATTAAACTGCAGTTCCTCGGTGACAACATCAGCGAAATAGTAACACAGCGCCTGAAGAATGCAGTTAAAAGAGATTATTATGCAACAGAGGTACATTGTCTCTTCACAACCACCCCTATTCTATGTTCGAGAAATACGGATAAATTACCTAAATTTGCCTCTTCTATGTGTATCTACCAGTTTGACTGCAGCTGTGGAGCCAGCTACATTGGGCGTACAATTAGGCAGGTTCATCGTCGTATTTCTGAACATCATCCAACATGGTCAAGCAAGGGACAAACAAGATCTATTCTTAGTTCTATTTTAGCACACCTTGTTGATACTGAGCATAAGGTTGATGTTATTACTGCATTTAAAATTATTTATCGCATTCCGACTAATCTTAACTTTCCTCTACGAGTTCGTCTTCTACAGACAACTGAAGTAATCGGAATCCACCTGAAGAAGTCAAGCCTGTGTTCAGAAGAAATTTGTACAGCCACTTTCCTTACCGTGGCCAACATCGTTACAAGAATGCATAAACACGACTACGTCGCCCCCCTCCCCCTAAACCTTTATTTTATTTTTATTTATTTTGACCACTTCATCTTTAATTACGTGTTGTCCTTGTAAAATTAATTTATTCTAACCATTTCTACCTTTTAAATGTGTATTGATTTCCTTCGTTAATTATCAACCCACTAACATTTTGACACTGTTTAATTATTGTTAACAAACATATCGCCACTTGATTGGTAAACTGTTGTGTATTGTAATAAAAATGCTATACAGAATATATTAGAGTAGAGCCAGAGATGAGGATCTAATTGAAAAGTAAATATTTCTTCGCTCAATCTTTCTGTTTTCTAAATGTCTAAATGGGGATTTTTTTCTATATGGTATATATATATATATATATTTAAACCAATTAATATGAGATTAACTTTATTTTTTTTAACAGAAATTCGTTATCTTGTGTCGTCATCTACGTTTTTTTAATTATTTTCTCCCTGTTTCTGGTTTAACACTCATTTAGGTAATATAATATCAATAAGCAGTACAATTGCATCGACAACCGGTATATTTGCACCACTTGTTGTTGGTTTTGTGACTAAATACAGTGTAAGTTCAACAGAATTGAATTATTTTTCACTAATCAGTATATGTACACGCGTATTTATATATATATATAAATATACATATACAATGGTGGTTCCTTGCAAAATGTAAGATGATGTTGCAGGATTGGACTCCACCGACCCCTAGATTAGAAATAGGAAGTGAAATGGTAGAGCACGTTGACCGCTCACTTACTTGGGAAGTACCATCAGCCAACGCCAACGGGTTGATCTCTGACGAAATCTCAGCACGAATACAGAGGGCTAGTTTCGCATATGCCAGTTTACGCCGTCTCTGGCGTAGACGTGATATCCGACTATCGACCACAGGGCGTGTGTACTGCTCATCAGTCCACTCCGTCCTCCTTTATGGCTGGCTGTGAGACCTGGCCGTTGAGAGTGGAGGACATGAAAAGATTAGCTGTCTTTGATCATAGGTGTCTGCGTTCTATCTCCCGTGTGTGTGAAGTGGTATAATAAGGTGAGCAATATTGAGGTTAGGCCATCGGTCGAGTGCTAGTTGGTAAGGAGGAATTGGAAATCAATCGACGAGGCTGTCAAACGACATCGACTGAGATGGTTAGGACATGTGTTACGTATGCCTAGTCATCTCCTTCTTCGACAATGGGCAATGTTAGCTGACATAGGATGGGTCAGGCTGGAAAAGAGCAAGCACACGGCGGTCAAACGAAAACATGGCACCAGTCAATGAAATCTACAACAGTCAGTCTGAGCCAGCCACGTAGGAAGGTGTAGACTGGCTTCCTGACTGGCTGGTTGGGGTCCTCGGGACGGTGAAAACCAATGAAGGCTGGAAACAATTGGTGACGTGGCTAGCTCAAAGTGATCGTTCTCAATGGCTGGCTGGTGCAGATGCATCCATTCCTTGTGACTGACTTATGATTTCCAATGAAACCGTTTTGTTCTTCGTTATTACTATTCCTTTGTCTCACACCTCCGTTTACTGTCTCTCTCTAATATGCATTTGTTCTACTTTCTTCTCTTGATTTGTGTGGTACAAGGAGTGGAGTGTGTCGACTTGAACTGCCACGCGTATGTGTAAAGTTCTATGTCGAAAACCGACCGACTGACTCATGTATGATCCTACTAGGGACCACAAGTTAAGGACTCATCAACTATTCAGTTATTTAAGATGGAATTCACTGGCCCATTAATTATTCTAACTTCTTTACAAAGTACCACTCTCCAGCTTCCAATTATTATCTAAAAGGTGACATCACTTTTTGTGATTTAACTTGAAAAGTCATACTTCTTTGTAGAATTCTCAGTATTCTATTTCAAGTTTTAGCGATATACTTCCTATTATTATCATTATTATTATTATTTTGATAGCATTATCAGAAGACGGAGATTATCTGAAAAATGTGATGTTATGTATTTGCGCTATACATTTTGGAACAATCTGATCACACATTTACTTGTCAAGTCAATATATATGGAAAAGTTAAATTAAACAAAGTGATAAAAAAATAAAGAATTAAGACGGTCTATCTACAGAAAGCCCCCTTGGACAGGGCAATACCTTAGTTTTCACAGCTTCTGTTCATTACAGTATAAGAGAGGCTTGGTGAAGTGTCTATTTAAGAGGATTCAGCGTATTTGCTGATGTTATAGACAAAGAAAACGAAATATTGATGGATACTCTTGTTGAAATTAATTTTAACAGGTGTAGAAGTCAACTAGCCTCTAAACCTACAATCCATACCGTCCCTAAGAAAAAGGTTTTCATCAAATTACCATATAACGGGGAAATAAATAGTAGGATTTTGAAACAAAGGTTGAATTCGATCATCCGTAGAACCTACTATGCAGCCCAGCTTGTAATTGTGGAAAAAGCTAAAAAAATGTGCTCCACTGCAAACCTCAAAAGTGCACAAGTGATTATATCACATCCCACACAATTTACCAATTTTCGTGTGTGTGTGTGTGGACATACATACATAGGGAGGAGTAATCGCGCGTTGCACGTGAGGGTGGGAGAGCATATCCCAAAATGGTTAGAAAAACAGATGAATTGTGACAAGCCAATAGATGCAGGTGTCAGACTACCAACTTCGTCTATAGCTAAACATCTAATCGAAATGAACCATAAGGTTGATGTTAACTCAGCCTTTAAGGTCATCTATAAAAACGGTCAAGGATGGTTTACTGAAATACGCTGAGGCTATAACCATTCATAAATTTGAGTCTCCCTTGTGTATTCAAAAACAGTTTGTTATTACTCTTAACCTTATTTGATTGGATTACCAAACGTTTGTGTTAATTATTCTTAATTCTTTTTTTTTGTCAATTTGTTTAATTTAACTTTTCCATATATATTGACTTGACAAGTAAATGTGTGAGGGATCAGATTGTTCGAAATGTATAGCGCAAATACATCACATCACATACCTTTTCAGATAATCTCCGTCTTCTAATAATGCTTTCAAAATTTATAAAAGGGACTAACTGTTTTAAATTATTATTATTGTCATTTCAAATCTCTAAATATCCCCATTTATAATATTAGAACAAGACATATAAGCGAACAATATTGTTTTCAATTAGATCTTCTTCAGGCTTTACTCTAATTTACATAGATTTATATATAAAATTTTAACCAATGACGCTGATTTGGGGAATCATATAATAATATTAATAATAATAATAATCTTAATAATAATGTGGTAAATGTTTTGAACGAAATTAATAACGATGATTATAATGCAAAAGAACTGTCGTCAAGATTTGACAGAATAGTTCTAAAATATTTGGGCGCCGAGTGAGAAGTAGACATTTGTAAAAAATTATATTTGTAAAGTCTCAGTGAGATTGAAATGATTAATTCCAACTTTTCCCATGTTCGGCAATCTGGTCCGAACTTCTTCAGGGAAATTAATCGAAATTAACATAACATAAGTTTATATATATAAAAGGAACATCACTTGTAGCTGTCGAGTCACCTGACAACTCCAGTAGGTCGAATAAAGCAGCTCAATCTTCAGAAAGAAGACAAAGCAATAAGTCCGACAGGGTGCTCTTCAACTGAACTCTAATCCTAAACACCATAATTTTGAAAATACGTATAATCATAAAATTCTAGATACTAACAGTTTGAACAGACATGAAGGCGTGATGTTAGCTGATGCATAGGAAATCCTGATTAATAAATAAAAATGGATATGTATCACTAATTAATAATCATACTTGGTCAAAATTCTCGACTGTCCATATCTTCTTATGGAGACGTTAAGAAATGTTTTACAACTGTTTACCCACACACACATACATACACACTCTGTTTAAAGTGTTTAACAAAGGTAGACCAATATTTGTAAGTCCGAGGTCAAATTTTGATCACAGCTCATAAAATTTTGTTTATTATACTTGTTGCATGTCTCATGATTGGACAAAACAAGTGATGTTCCTTTTATATATATAAACCTCTGTTAAGTTAATTTCGATTAATTTCCCTGAAGAAGTTCGGACCAGATTGCCGAACGAAACGTTGGAATTACTCATTTCAATCTCGCTGAGATTTTACAAATAAAATTTTACAGATAATTATAATGATAACAAAATATTGATAATAAGGTTTATGCAGGTGATAAGAATAACAAAGATAGTATATGTATATAAGTGTATAAATAAATTAGGTCAAATCTTAAAAGGTGAAGTGGAACGACAGAGTTTAAATAAACACGCTGGGATTAATTTAAATAATTTATAATGAATCAATCTGACTCGGCGCTCAAATTATTTCAGGAAGTTCGTAACAATGACGGCCTGGAAACCTATAAATATTATAAAAGTACGAAGGAGATGGAAAATAAGAAGGGGTGGGAGGGTTTTGAATAGAATTCACCTAGGCCAAGGGAGAGACAAAGGTAGAACAAACTTCTTTTGCATGCAAAGACTAGGATTGTTCTCTCGAATTCCCATAGCTTCGGCTAGGTGTAAAAGACGGGTTCTGATTCCATTCGAAAGACTGGATGGAATACGATAGATAACTTTGAAAGCACTATTTTTGTCCACTTGGTGACCGCTACCAATCAAATGAGCCAAAATAGAACTTCGTATGGATTTTATTTGACCTTTTCCGAACCATGAAGGAAGATGCTCATTAATGCGTTTGTTAAGTTGTCTAGTTGTTCGCCCTATATAGCTTTCTCCACAGGAGCAACTAAATTTATAGATACACATCGAAGTGGCACAGCTAGGTAGCTTATCTTTCACTTGAGCAATCAAAATTGGTCGGCTGGAAAATGACAAACAAAGGGTGGCAGCAGTATAAGTCCGTTTTATCGCTCTCGATAATCTCAGATGTAAAACTTCACTAGCCACGTCCCTATTAAATTGAAGTTTTATGAACAGTTATTTCTTTTTAACTGTTGTCAGTTTTTCTTTGTTGTACCTGGTATTCATGTGTCTCCTAACAAATCTTCTAGGATAACCCATTTGGACCAGCGTATTTTTGGATATATCCTAGCTCATTTTCTAGGGAGTCATCTGTACAAATACGTCTTGCTCTATTCGTAAGGCATCTGACCAAATTGATTTTATATCGGATTGGTACAAAACTGAGGAAATGTGTATATTGTCCTATAGATGTAGGTTTTCTATAGACATCTCTCTTGAGTGAACCATCCTCTCTTCTGCTCAAATGGACATCAAGGAAATGTAATCCACCATCATGTTCTTCTTCACAAGTGAAGATGAGCGATGGATGTGCATCATTAAACTTTTTTAACATTTCATTCAAAACATTTACCACATTGTTATTATTATTAAGATTATTATCATTATTAATATTATTATTTGATTCCCAGTATCACCGTCATTGGTTAAAATTTTATATATATAAATCTATGTAAATTATTGTCATTACCACATTTCTCCAGTCAGATCTGACCGATTGGTTCATAGTGTTTGGCGTATCCTCCAGTCTGGCATGGTTTGGTTCAATTATAAATTTATATTTAACAAGTGGAGAAGAACAACCATGGGGTAGATCGTCTACATTGTAAAAGAATACCTGATGACAATATCTCCTTATGTCACCTTCTGTTCTTCATGAATGACATTCTTTATTCTTAACTGATCAATACTATTCAATGCTGACAAATTAAATTTAACGTGTGATAATTGGAATGTTGAACATTGTGTAAAATCTTCTTGTCACTTTGTATTTTGTTTTAATGCATCAGAGTTATATTTAAAAACTGCGCCGTTTTCAAAACCAAATGGTATTTCGATTTTCACTTTCAAAACATTATCTATTATTTTATCTTATATTTATTCAGATTAAAATTAATTTATATTACTTTTTGAAATGACATGTTTTTTCTAAATATAAAAAATTTTTAACACAGTATCAGATGTCAGTTTGTTCATAATGAATTTATTCCATGTACAACAAATAAAATGATCGCATATATAGAGCAAAAGGAATCAGATTCGTCGAGATTTAATACTGATCGAATGTGTATTTGAAGTTGTGATTAATTTTGAAAATGCTGCTTTGCAGGGATCTGATTGATTTTGAGTAACCTGACGAGTTGAGAGTAACTAGAGAACTACTATAAACCGAACAGAACTAAAGAGTCGTTTCGTCCTAGTCAGGAACTCCTCAGCCGTAAGCATTCGCGATATCGAATTGAACTGTCAGTAGCAGGCCCCTCGGATAAGAAGACAGACTGACAACAAATCAGTCACCTGATAATATACAAAAGCGTACGAACTCCAAATAATGTGATTTGATATAATAAGTGTGAGCAAAATTAAATGATTTCAGAAAGGATATAAACCAGCTGAGGTCAAAAAACACAGAATGAATCAATGAAAATCATCCGGGAATTAACAGATATTTGGTCAGCATATAACCACAAAAATGTCAACCATAAGCAAATAAGAACAATAGCAAACAAAGTTAAACAAATTCAGAAAAAAGCTCCAAGTCAATACATCGGAAAAACAAAGAAAAAGCATTCAAAAAAAGGAAACAAAAAGAGAAATAAGAAAAAATCGAGCTACGAAAACAGGAGCAACACATACAGCATAAGGAAAAAAGAAATCACAAGGCGACTCACGGAATCTCACAAAAACAGTCACATACACACACATACACAAACACACGAACAAACACTGTCTCTCTCAACACCTACTTACACAACATACAAGTCAAATGACACATGCAACAGTAGTCTACACTGATGACAACTACACACAAGACATTTCACGTCATTGCATACAACAAGCGAAAAGACATGAGTAGTCGCCTCATCATCTCACCTCATCACAATTCATCGACGACTCGTTGACTGAAGCGAACAGACTGAGCGAGCGACCGCGCGCGTAGCACAACACTATCGACGACAAGCAAGCAATAATTCAATCGAATTGGAACCTCCGAATGATGATTGGTGAAAAGGAATTGAGCGAATCAGAAATCGGTGAGTGAGTAAGCCCGTGCGTGTATCAGTCAGTGTGTCTGTCAGTCTGTCACCAATTCGCTCGATGACTGATTCATCATCCAGCAGAATGCTTCATCAGGCGTCAATGATTTCCATCGGTCGGAATCAATGTGATATTAATTACACTGTTGATCCACTACTCATGATCATGATAATGTTGAGAACGACCGGCACACTGGCATCCAAAACAACATGTACACGTGTGGCTTCGATTTGTGTTTGACTCTGTGTGTGTGTGTGTGTGTTGTAGATGTCAATGTCGGCTAGCTGTTGTGAAAACGTGGAGGATTGTAGTGAATGTGAGGCTGAGTTAGTGTCTGAGGCAGTAGGAGATGCAGAGAGTGTCGATAGGAACTGGCGACAGTGTCGGTGTGGATTTGTGTTACGAGTAGTTGGCGTTGATCAAAAGCCGCCGCCCGATGGGGGGCTCGAACCCCCGACCCTCAGATTAAAAGTCTGATGCTCTACCGACTGAGCTAACCGGGCCAAACGTGCACACCATGACTCACATTCTCATCTCACAACTCCCCATAAAACACACACAATAAACACAATCAATCCATCAACAACAAATCAATCGGTCACAAAAACACACACTCAAATTATACCCAACATTCATATCCACTCACAAGCACAAACCAATCAACGCAAGCCTACACACAAATTCACTATCCTCAAAGCACACGCATTCACACATACACAGATAGACAGGCGAACACGCACGCACACACTCAAATCCATTAAATAACAAACACAAACCCAAACCCAACACTGACACACAACACTTCCCAACAGTCCTACCTCGATCTACACACCAATCACGCTCATATATTGTCACGGGCCTACCCATCCTCATACACACACACACACCGAAACACACCGAAACACACCGAAACACCCGGACACCCACACACTCACATACACCGATACACAGAGAGAAGCACAATGTCACCCTCACACTAATTCACATTCATTCACTCACTGACTCACGCAACTCACTCTCTCACTGACGAATAGAGTCACTCAGTCACTCACTCAGTCACCCTCTCTCTCCCTCTCCCTCTCTCGCTCCATCCCACATACACACACATACACAAACACACGAACAAACACTGTCTCTCTCAACACCTACTTACACAACATACAAGTCAAATGACACATGCAACAGTAGTCTACACTGATGACAACTACACACAAGACATTTCACGTCATTGCATACAACAAGCGAAAAGACATGAGTAGTCGCCTCATCATCTCACCTCATCACAATTCATCGACGACTCGTTGACTGAAGCGAACAGACTGAGCGAGCGACCGCGCGCGTAGCACAACACTATCGACGACAAGCAAGCAATAATTCAATCGAATTGGAACCTCCGAATGGTGATTGGTGAAAAGGAATTGAGCGAATCAGAAATCGGTGAGTGAGTAAGCCCGTACGTGTATCAGTCAGTGTGTCTGTCAGTCTGTCACCAATTCGCTCGATGACTGATTCATCATCCAGCAGAATGCTTCATCAGGCGTCAATGATTTCCATCGGTCGGAATCCATGTGATATTAATTACACTGTTGATCCACTCATGATCATGATAATGTTGAGAACGACCGGCACACTGGCATCCAAAACAACATGTACACGTGTGGCTTCGATTTGTGTTTGACTCTGTGTGTGTGTGTGTGCGTGCGTGTTCGTGTGTATGTGGCTGTGTTGTAGTTGTGTTTTGTGTGTGTGTGTGTGTGTGTTGTAGATGTCAATGTCGGCTAGCTGTTGTGAAAACGTAGAGGATTGTAGTGAATGTGAGGCTGAGTTAGTGTCTGAGGCTGTAGGAGATGCAGAGAGTGTCGATAGGAACTGGCGACAGTGTCGGTGTGGATTTGTGTTACGAGTAGTTGGCGTTGATCAAAAGCCGCCGCCCGATGGGGGGCTCGAACCCCCGACCCTCAGATTAAAAGTCTGATGCTCTACCGACTGAGCTAACCGGGCCAAACGTGCACACAATGACTCACATTCTCATCTCACAACTCCCCATAAAACACACACAATAAACACAATCAATCCATCAACAACAAATCAATCCGTCACAAAAACACACACTCAAATTATACCCAACATTCATATCCACTCACAAGCACAAACCAATCAACGCAAGCCTACACACAAATTCACTATCCTCAAAGCACACGCATTCACACATACACAGATAGACAGGCGAACACGCACGCACACACTCAAATCCATTAAATAACAAACACAAACCCAAACCCAACACTGACACACAACACTTCCCAACAGTCCTACCTCGATCTACACACCAATCACGCTCATATATTGTCACGGGCCTACCCATCCTCATACACACACACACACCGAAACACACCGAAACACCCGGACACCCACACACTCACATACACCGATACACAGAGAGAAGCACAATGTCACCCTCACACTAATTCACATTCATTCACTCACTGACTCACGCAACTCACTCTCTCACTGACGAATAGAGTCACTCAGTCACTCACTCAGTCACCCTCTCTCTCCCTCTCCCTCTCTCGCTCCATCCCACATACACACACATACACAAACACACGAACAAACACTGTCTCTCTCAACACCTACTTACACAACATACAAGTCAAATGACACATGCAACAGTAGTCTACACTGATGACAACTACACACAAGACATTTCACGTCATTGCATACAACAAGCGAAAAGACATGAGTAGTCGCCTCATCATCTCACCTCATCACAATTCATCGACGACTCGTTGACTGAAGCGAACAGACTGAGCGAGCGACCGCGCGCGTAGCACAACACTATCGACGACAAGCAAGCAATAATTCAATCGAATTGGAACCTCCGAATGATGATTGGTGAAAAGGAATTGAGCGAATCAGAAATCGGTGAGTGAGTAAGCCCGTACGTGTATCAGTCAGTGTGTCTGTCAGTCTGTCACCAATTCGCTCGATGACTGATTCATCATCCAGCAGAATGCTTCATCAGGCGTCAATGATTTCCATCGGTCGGAATCCATGTGATATTAATTACACTGTTGATCCACTCATGATCATGATAATGTTGAGAACGACCGGCACACTGGCATCCAAAACAACATGTACACGTGTGGCTTCGATTTGTGTTTGACTCTGTGTGTGTGTGTGTGCGTGCGTGTTCGTGTGTATGTGGCTGTGTTGTAGTTGTGTTTTGTGTGTGTGTTGTAGATGTCAATGCCGGCTAGCTGTTGTGAAAACGTAGAGGATTGTAGTGAATGTGAGGCTGAGTTAGTGTCTGAGGCTGTAGGAGATGCAGAGAGTGTCGATAGGAACTGGCGACAGTGTCGGTGTGGATTTGTGTTACGAGTAGTTGGCGTTGATCAAAAGCCGCCGCCCGATGGGGGGCTCGAACCCCCGACCCTCAGATTAAAAGTCTGATGCTCTACCGACTGAGCTAACCGGGCCAAACGTGCACACAATGACTCACATTCTCATCTCACAACTCCCCATAAAACACACACAATAAACACAATCAATCCATCAACAACAAATCAATCCGTCACAAAAACACACACTCAAATTATACCCAACATTCATATCCACTCACAAGCACAAACCAATCAACGCAAGCCTACACACAAATTCACTATC